ACCTCACACATCACACAGAGCTGCTCTGGCTGCACTTCTCACCTCTGGAAAGCACTAAGCTGCTGAAAATACTAACACAAACATGGCAGGGGAACACTCCTACTTCAAAACTGAGTCTCCTTCCCTCTGACATCCAAGTGCAGAATCAGTATTTCAAGCCCTGTGCTCCAGCTGGGAAGCTGTCTTTGTATGCATGGACAGAGCTCTGTTTCACACACACAGTGCTGTTCCCTAAGCAGAAATTATCTTTTTTTTGCTGAGCTTTATAGCCCCCAATGAGAACAGGGCCACACTGAGATGTCTGTGTGCACATACCTCTTCTTTGGCAGTTTAATCTTTGCAATGTAACTCAGGCAGTAGTTGATGACATCTTGAAGGATGTCCTCGCCCAGGTGGCCCTGAATGCTCTAACAAAACAAACACCATTCAACCAAGGGTCCAGAATTTGAGATTCTAAAAGCAAGTCACATGGAAAACACAGACACTGGGTAATCAGGCATGGTTAATACCACAGAGAAACAAACACGCCTTCAAGCAGTAACATCAGCTGATGCTCACATGGTACTAACTAAAGGCTCTCACTTTTCTTTTTGTTCACTTTGTAACACCAAATTGTTCTTTAATAGGATTCCTAGTTGTACCTGCTTCAGAAGGAAACTGTGCCACAGGCAGCAGCCCTAAACAAAAAGCTGCATTTAATGTCTGCTACAGCCAAGCATGAAGAAATGGAGCTTGTTCCTGCAGTAAACTGGAACCACTGGTCAAGGCAGCAAATTCAGCCAGGATCTCCAAGTGTTTGCTCTCCATTATTTATGTTAAACATTACATGCCAAATGAATGATCCATTAACAGGACTAACGTATGAAAGCAGCGGCAACTTTGGTCTTTGAAAGGGTGAGTACAGAGGGCTGCACTGTACAAATAAATCAAAATCTTGTTTAGAAAATTTCTGTTTCTCACTGTTGGAAATTTCACACTTACCTGCTTGCTCAGGAATTGCCCATCTTTGTATGCTACCAGACCATTTTCTGAGAACACATAGTCATATTTTTCAATCACTGCAAACAAGTAAAAAGACAGTAAGTCATCATTTCCCCTCAATGGTTAATGCAGAATTGTCTTAAATGTTAATTAGCTTAAAATACAGCAAACATTAGCTCCTAAAGCATGAAAGTTTCAGCAGCACAGCATCAAGCATAAGATTAATGTTAGTCCCATTTCTCACTATGATTAACACACCTCAAATCATGTGAAGTCAATTGTTTGACTTACCTGTGGTTTTACTTAGAGGGATATAACTCTTTGCATTAAATGTAAAGGAATGACCAAACAACTAGCACATGGCCTGGCTTGAGAGCAAGTCCAATACTGGCTTTTTAAGTTTGTTTCCTCAGTGTCACTGACCTTCAGCAGATGCCTGGGAGCTGTGAGTCTCAGCACCACACAGGATGATATGGTTTACTGGAGACCATTTGGAACACAAACAAACTCTTGGAACGAAGCACTACAGGAGGCTACCAGTGGCATCAATTAAGTAAAGACCATTAAGAATAAAGTACTAAGGCAAGAGTGCATAGCTACAGTGAACACAACCAGGTCCTCAGGGCTGTGCTGGACAGCTGAGCAGCCCACACACGTGTGACACGTGTGTCACACACACGGCAGGGTGAAAAGGGCCTCGCAAGGCTCTGCCACCAGGGCAGGATTGCACCATCAGTAACAACCTCTAAGTCTGATATCGAGATACCTGCACAACGCAAACAGGCTGCGATTTCCGAATGCCAGGCAGCAGCCTGAGTGCAACACCACACGGCCAGGAAGACGATTAAAAGCAGGGAGCATTAATAAAAGGGAAGAGGTCTGAGGGGGCTGGAGCCCCGCGCCCCTCAGGCGGCCCTTACCGTCCTCGCCCAGCTGCTCGCGGATCTTGGCCAGGTCCGAGCCGCCCACCACCCCCACCTTCAGCTTCTGCCGCAGCCGCTGCAGGAACGCCGCCATCTCCGCCGAGATTTTCTGGGGTCCGAAACAGAGCCGTCAGATTTGCCAGAGGCCAGCGTCTCCACCCCGCAACAAGCAGCCCAAGGGCGCAGCGCTTCGAGCAGCGCTAAATGAGTTAAGCGTGCCCAGGGAGCCCGCGGCACAGGGCCCTCCACCCCGCAACAAGCAGCGCTAAATGAGTTAAGCGTGCCCAGGGAGCCCGCGGCACAGGGCCGTGCCACCCGCCCCGCTCCCCGCGGGCCCGCAGCCCGCCCCGCACTCGCCTGCCGCGGGGCCGTGAGGGTGCGTCCTCCTTCTGCTCTTTCCTCGTCCCTCGTCCTCCTTCTGCCCTTTCCCCGTCTCCTTGCCTTTCCCCGTCTCCTTGCCTTTCCCTGTCGTCGGGTCCTTGCACAGCCACGTGCCCCGCCCCGCACTCGCCTGCCGCGGGGCCGTGAGGGTGCCATCCACGTCGAACAGGCAGAGCGCGGCGGGCGGCGGCGCCATGGCTGCGGCGGTCCTTGCCTTTCCCTGTCGCCATCCCGTCGCTCGGTGTCGGGTCCTTGCACAGCCACGTGCCCGCGGAGCTTCCCTCCTGCCTTTGCTCCGCAGTTCTGCGCGTCCCGGCGTCTGCTCCCTGCTCCGGCCTGATCGTGCTCTCCTCCCCTTTGCTTAGTCCACTTTTCTGTTTCCCTGCCCTGCTGTTTAAGGGGTTGTTTAGCGGTTTCAGCAGCTTTGCTGGGATGTGGCTCACAGCGGGAGGCGGGGGTGTGCAGGCCGGTCACAGCTCTCTGACACCAGCCCTGTCAGCAAAGCTTTCCCTCTGTCTGCAGCCAGGGATGCGAGCACAAACACCAGTTTCTTACCAGAACACTGGTTTAAGGTTACAGTGGCTTTACTGTCGCTTTACTTGTGCTTTATCGTTTGTAGACACCCAAGGGACCGACTCTGAGCTCACTGATGGGTTTTAGAGACTCAGTGGTGACCCGCGGCAATGTTGCCTTACAGGCTTGGCTCTGCACTGTTCGCACTGCAGCCTGCACAGCGGCAGCTTTCGGGAGATCTCTGCAGAAGGAGCTCTGCACAAGGTCCTGGAGAAGGGAAGCTGCTCGCCTGCCCTGGAATTTTGGTTCGTGGGAGTGTTTGCAGTCGCAAGCCCAGCGGGTTCATGGTGTCAGGAGTTACCTCAGGAGACCACGGGAGCCGTCTGTGTGTCTGTCCCACCTGGCCCCTGCTGCCGTGGTCCAGCAGAAGGCTGTGGACGGGAGGACAGAAGAGTTCAAACTGGTCTACAGGTTCCCAGGGATAAAATACTGCAGAGTCCTGTCGAGACTGAAGCTGCTGCAGACTGCCACCTCCATGGTCATGCTGCCTCCCATGTGCTACCTCTACCTGCAGGGCCAGGTGTCCCAGAATGTCCTCCTCTATACAACTGGCATTGCTGTCTTTGCTGGGGCAATGCTGTATGGCATGAGCTACTTCTTCAGAAGGATTATTGGATTCATCTACTTAAGTGAAACTGGACAAACTGTCAGAGTGGCCCACTTGACATTTTGGGGAAGACGTAATGATATTTACTGTCCCATAGAGACAGTGGTGACTTTGGATGAAGTTGGAGACAGCAAGGATGAGCTACTCCACCAGTTCAAGCGGTACAACAGTACAGATACTTTGTATTTTACAATTAAGTATGGCCAGATTGTAGACAGACAGAAATTTACTCAAATATTTGGAGAATTTGTGTGATACAGCAGCATTTCCAATGGCTTTCCATGTTCTTTGTGCTTATTGGTCCATGAGGTTTAAGTAGTTCACCAAACTACACATCCCTGTCCTTTTCCTGTGTAAAGCCTGCTGTAAGTGCACCCAGTGTAGAGTCACAGTGGTAAGGCACAGCCACTGGATTAAAGGTCTTGCAGCTTGTGTGTGGTGTGAGGAGTGTCTGTTCCATGTGGGATTCAGTAATGTCACAGCATTCCAAGCCTGAACTGTTCTTGGAATGTGCTGTAGGAGGCCAAATTACTGGGGTTGGCCCTGGCTGTTTGTTTCTGTTGGCCTCTTTGGTGGTCATGAAACACGAAAAATCTCTTTAAATGAAATGCAGGAGCTGCCAGAGCATCCTCACTTCCAACTCAGTGTTTCTTTTAGCTAATTTCAGGTTTGGCTGGGAAGCCTCTGGAAATTAAAGCTGGTCTGGTACATCCATTGGTGGTACTGCTGAATGTGAGAGAGGAACTTGATTAACATGTGTCAGTGCAGTTGAGGGAACTGGGAAGGTGTGTGGGCTGTCCTGGCCTCAGGAGGATCCTCCACGATGGGAGTGGAACTGGGCAAAAGAGACACTGGCTGCTCAGCTGTTAAGTTAAAGGCTGGGACAATATTTCAGGAGTCTCTTGCAGAAATTGCCATTCTTCATTGGAATGGGAAAAGCAGCACCTGTCTCCATGAAGGACTGTGGTCTTATTCCATGGTGCTGGTATGATTTCTCCTTTTCCAAAACCTTGCTAGAAATGAGGAATTTAAACCCAAAAAACAACCAAATATATCACCTATAACATATAATACATCTTTTGAATTGTCAGAAGCAAGATAAGTCCTTACACCCCTCCTAGTTCTAGCTTCATTTGAAACTGGCAAATAAACTGACTCTCACCAATAATCTGGAGTGTTCTTTCCTTATTTCTTCCTCATGTGAAGTGAAACCCATTTCTTCATGGATCAGCAAAGGATCAGTTAAGTAAATTGCCATTTAAGTGCACAGAGTAACCCTGAAATACTATTTCTCATATTTAACTTTTCCTAATGGGGTTCTGTGAGTTTAAATTTTGGCTGACACTGTGTAGCACAGCAATATCAGAAGAAATGCAAATGTTCCTTGGTGTAAATATCATGGCAGCAAAATACAGTGGGCTGTACAGGTATACTGCATTTTTTGGAGGTTTATCTTCATCAAAATGTATTTTATAATGCACTAATGGTTCAGTTCAGGCATGTACCGTGTGTAAAATGAAAAGTCCTGGAGAAGCTCAATTATAAATATTTTATTTAAGAATATTGATTACACATGATTGATGTAATTTGTTATGAATCTGTGTACAGTTACTAGTTACACCATGAAGTGTACTTAAGTATTTATTTAAACATTTATTTGGCACTGTCTACAGTATGCTGTAAACAATATTAACTTTATATGCTTCAGCTGCAGTGCTTTCTATGTATTCTCTAACGATTTCATCAACATGTTGTACACAATTATACAGTTACTGAGTGTCAGTAAAAATTATAAAAACACCTAGAGTAGTCATAATAAAAGTGAAGATGTGTAAGACTTCAAATTACTGGACCTTTGCTTCTGTAAAAGTACAAGACTTGCTAGAGACATTCACTAAAACTACTGCACTGATATGTTGAACAAACTAATTCCCAAAATGCTGTCAAATCCAGTTCTTGGTTTGACTTTCCTTTTGCTGATAACACGCTTACGAGGACAGCGATGACAATGAAGTTTTGTTGAACACCAATTTTTACCAGTCCTTTCCCCAGATTTCTACAACCTCTGTTCAAAAACCTGCTCAGGTTCTGCCCAGCTGGCACCAGAATTCTGCTTTCTGCAGATGTTTACAGAAATCCCACTGGGTTTAAGCTGGCAGAAGTGACTGTGCTTGAGTTTCCCAATAGCAGTACTTTAAAATGGGAAAACCATGATTAACACTTCTCAAAGCAGGTAAGGAACCTTTTCACATTTTGGTAGCTGTATTAAACATGTAAATCTTTTAACTTCTCTGTTTCTTATTATGCACTTAAAAATGGTGGTCAGGTCCTGAAAGGGCAACTGTAAAAGTCCATTGTGGTCCCTGTTTTTTGGTGCACAACAAAAAGTTAAACCTAGTAAACAAAATCCAGATGCTCACCAAAAAAAAGAAAAAGAAAGGCACCAGATCTAGTTCAAGTCAGCCTTCAGCAAACAGTAAAGAGACATCCAAAACAATTCTCTGAAGAAAAACAAATTAATGAACTGTTGACACATTTTTTTTGATCCTGTGGCTTTCTAGAAGAACTCTGAAATATCAATGACTTAGAATATACTATTAGAACAAAAATAGAATTACTTTGCATTATAAATGTGCAGTCAGGAGTAGGCCCTCACTGTAGTGGCTCTAATACCAGATAATGGCATTACTGCTTTAGTTTTACAAAATACCTCAAGTATTCGTGTAGAAGTTATAGGTAAATTAATGGCTATTGTGTGTTGTGGGCAAATGGGAAAATAATCTGGAATCATTCTAGACTGCTGGCAGAAGTGGAAGAATGTGCTTTGCATGGTTCTCTAAGCTTTGTCAGATTACATACTTCAGGGTAGAGTTTTCTCTGTACAAGTCTGCTTGTAAGAGAAGTCAAAAGTTTTAAAACCCATCCATGATGAGGACAGAAGGACAAGGGCTTCAGTGCCACTTGCAGCGCTGTAGGGGTGGCTGAGGGCACCAGTGCCCCGTGAAGCAGTGAGTGCAGGCTGGGCAGAGCTGCCCTGATGCAGTTGGTGTGGCAGATGCCTGTACTCGAGGGAATAAAGCTGGAAATTACTCTGTAAAATACTGTGCTTGGCAGTGGTGGAAAGCAGAGCTTTCCTTGGAACACTGATTGGATCCCAGCTGCCATTGGAGAGCGGCACTCTGTGCGGCAGCCGTGTGGCTCCGAGTGGCCACGCTCGTTGCTGAGCTTCTGGATGCTCAGACAGTGCAGAGTCAGGGACGTGGCTGTAGGGAGGACTCTGCAGTTACCATGGCCCAGGCCAGAAGAGGGAGGTTCTAGGGGTGCACAGTGAGGGACAGCTGCATGTACCTGCTGGTGACCAGTGCCAATGCTCTGCCTGGGGCGCGTGTGCATGGAGCAGCTTGCCTTGGGCAGGATTACAGACAGAACACAAACCTCAGTTTATGACTTTACACTTATCTTGTAAGTAGAGAAGACATGAATTAATGCAAACTAATTTCATAATCAGCTGTTCAGTGCAAGGGAACTGCTTTTTACTTGAAGTTTGCTAAGATGTCACTGAAAATGTTCAGGAAGAGGTGCGCGTGGTGGTCCTTGAAGATCAGCGTGGGACGAAAACGGATGGATCTGTCTCCACAGCCTCCCAGGACAACACCTGAAATGAGAACAGAATAGGTCCTCTAGTCATTTCCATCTTTGCCAAATATCCAGAAAAATTCAGGTCTCTGAATGGGGATACCCTCACTGTGGAAGGCCAACAGAAGCTCCCCAAATCCTGCTAGCCACACCATGATCCAGACATTGTGGTGTGAATGGCCTCAAGCTTCACAGCAGCTTAGAAGAACACTGTGGGTGCCTGGAGCTGTTCTATAAAACACTTGGAGTATTGGGACTCATCCTGACAGCAATGGAAAGAATCCATCCAGCACAGAGCTCAAACAGCATCTGAGCTTTCAGAGCTGCAGTACTCTCCTGGTCAAGTGTCCTGGTGCCACAAGACACAGGAAGTTTCTTTGCATTGGTTTTTAAACTGATTTGTTTTTAATGACAAGTTAAAATGTCTCAGTGCCTGAAAAACTCTCCCTGCGGTGCTTTAAATGCACTTTTTAGGCCAAAATAAATTTTTAGAAATGTTTGAATGGGAACACATATTACTAAGCTGAGCTTACCCACCTCAAAGCAGAACCTTGGTTTACCATGAAACAAACCACTTGCCTTCTTTCCCTGCTGGCTTAGTTTCCAAGAACAAAAAATGGTGTCTTTTACACTATAAAAGTTTGGTTTCACCACAGTTTAGACAAACCCTGCCTGCTTCTTTCAAGAGATAGGAGTAACAGCAAAAACAGACAGCAGCAAACACAGGACCCACACAGTTAAATTCAAAGAGAATGTTAGGTGTGGATCTCAAGCTTCCCCTCTGGATACCTGGGCCTGCAGCTGTGAACAGTTCTGTGGGAAAAGAGGCATGTCACTGTAGATCTGGGCCCATTTTAGGCACTTGTATTTAATCATTAGGTATTCCTAGGTATAGGAATTATGTATTTACAAAACTCATCGTTCTTCTCTCTGTGTTTTCCTGAGTGACACTGACTTTCTTCTAACTTTCCTGTTTCTAGAAGTAAGCCATGTCCATGGGCACCTAAAGTCACTGAACCTGATGTCACAAAAACTCATCCCCTACACAGACCTCTTCCAGTAACCTCAGACCTGCTGGTAAATGTACACACCGTGCAACAGACTGCTCTGAGGTCTCTGACAACATTTCCAGAAAAGTCTAAATCCAACCTTGTCATTTCACTACTGTCCTCTAATACTGAAATACTCATGCATGATATGAAAAGGAAAATGTGAAGCATTACCTTCCCATGTGAATGCTACACGTGAAGCTCATCCACACACACAAAGTTTCTTACCTTTGTTTCTGGCTATTGTAATTAACTTGTTTCTAGTTGCATCATTTGGAGTGTCAAACGAACAGAATGTTCCTCTTCCTCTCACTCTGCTGATGAGATGGGGGTAACGAGCCTGCAGAGGGAGGAGAGACAAGCACATGGCAGGTGCTGCAACAGAGGGCACCTGGTGGCAAGGCTGGCTCTGCCAGGTGGGCACCCTGCTGCCTCCTCGCTCCGCTGGAGCGCAGCGAGGCTCACACCGTGCTCTGCTCAGCCTGCAGAGCCCCACACACAGCAGGGAGGAACAATGAGTCTGACCCATGAGCTGGGTCAAGCAAAATATTCTTTGGAACGAGCATAACACACTTTATTTGTATCTACAGTGGACTCCAGGAAAACCTGAGCATAAACCATCTGCACTGGGGCTGGAAACCAGCTCATTCTTCCCCTGCACTGAGACACTTGCCAGTAGTATCTGCATCACTTATTCTCAATCACAGTCCCCATCTTTTGGATAGGACTAGTTGTATTCTGGCCCTCCAAAGTATGAGCATATAGTATTCTCTGTTCTCCTGCCTGCTATGTCTTAAAGGTGTGGAGAGAGCAGAGACTGTGTCTGGGATTATTCTATACAAAATGCCTTTGGGAGGTGAGCACCTGCAAGCCTATCTTTAAATGCCTGTCTGTAGAGCTCCACAGTAGAAGCTGTAAGGAATTTCCCTTAAACAAAGGAGGGAAAGATACAATTTTCTTATTTCAACAGCCCATTGCAGAATTGGAAAAAAATATGCAAGGACCTTCCTTTGAAAAGAACTTTAGGATAAGGAAATACCGATGGGTTATGATAACAAAATCTTCTAGCAAAGTAATTTAATTAGCTGCAGTATGTATCTTGAGATATTTTGGGGATCACCCTTTATATTGGATAAAGCTATATAAACCCAGCATTTTAAGTTAGTAAAAGAAAGTTTTCTTCAATATTTCCAAATGGGACACAGTTATTCAGGCCTGTGTTGAAGTCACAATAATGGTCTAGACCCCAGTTCTATCTCCTCAGCCCAAGTGTTTAAACTGGATCAGGTCAGATCCTGCTTCAGCACCAGTTTCTCCTTCTTATCCACAATCCTTCCAGATGTTTACCTGCAAATCCAGCAGCCCAGTCAGCAGTGCTTTCCCAGCATGGGTGGCATTGTTTAGAAGGTCTTCTGTTTTAATAACCTTGATGACTTCAGCAAGCATAAGGTTCTTGGATGGATCTCCAAGCCAGGTGTTAAAAATCCGGTAGGGCTTGGGAAAGAGTGGAAAAAGAGTTGTGGAACATGTTAACAGGCAAATCACTATAAATTAAGAAAAGCAAAGCATCACACTGGCAGTGCAAATATGGTGTATGAAAAGGCATGCACTAATCTCACCAACCACCCTTATTTATGTTGTAAAGCAAAATCCCATTGCTGAGCTGAAACACAGGGTGATCACTTCATGCTTCTCATTTAGTGCAGTCTGCCTTGCTACTCTGATGTCTCATTGAAACACAGCTAGAGATGACAGGAAATCAGCATCATCTATACAGGCTTTACAGCAAGCTTTATGCGCTTCCCCTTAATTTGACTTTTATTACATCTAAAATGTCATTAGTGCAAAGAAGAAATTTTGCTGACAGAATCTGTAATGCTGACATACAAGCTCTGAAATTCCCAAGTTGCCCTACAGGAGAAGGTGTCAGTTTGTGGCTGGATTTTGTACTGAAGTTTTATTCCATTGGGCTTGACCCAGTTCTCCTCTCCCCCCCACCAGCTTTATGACCTTGGTGACTGACAACAACTGAAAAGTGAATAGGTGATGACAACTGTTGTGTGGGCACACAGCAAGTTTCTGTAAAACAGCAGCCCCATCCAGCTGAACCTGCACTGCTGGAGGAAACTTTGTCCCTTCCTTGGATGTCACAGTCACTCCTCAGGGGTCACCAACCAGCACAGAGTCCAAGTTTCATTAAAAATCTTACCGCGTTTGGCCTGAACTCCTCTTTGTGGAAAAATCCTCCTGTCATCATCTTCTTACTGAATGTTACCACATCAGCTGGGTCATCCAGGCCCCAGTGCTCGTGTGCCCAGAACTTTCCTGTGCAGCCACCTCCTGTCTGCACCTCGTCCACCAGGAAAGCACAGCCATGCTGCAGAGACACGTGAGGAGCAGGGAGTGTGAGCCCTCCTTCCCAAAGCAGAAACACCTCCCTTAGTGAGAAAGAGGGGAAAAAGAGTTGGGGAACATGTTAACAGGCAAATCACTATAAATTAAGAAAAGCAAAGCATCACACTGGCAGTGCAAATATGGTGTATGAAAAGGCATGCACTAATCTCACCAACCACCCTTATTTATGTTGTAAAGCAAAATCCCATTGCTGAGCTGAAACACAGGGTGATCACTTCATGCTTCTCATTTAGTGCAGTCTGCCTTGCTACTCTGATGTCTCATTGAAACACAGCTAGAGATGACAGGAAATCAGCATCATCTATACAGGCTTTACATCAAGCTTTATGCTCTTCCCCTTAATATGACTTTTCATTTATTACATCTAAAATGTCATTAGTGCAAAGAAGAAATTTTGCTGACAGAATCTGTAATGCTGACATACAAGCTCTGAAATTCCCAAGTTGCCCTACAGGAGAAGGTGTCAGTTTGTGGCTGGATTTTGTACTGAAGGTTTATTCCATTAGGCTTGACCCAGCTCTCCTCTCCCCCCCACCAGCTTTATGACCTTGGTGACTGACAACAACTGAAAAGTGAATAGGTGATGACAACTGTTGTGTGGGCACACAGCAAGTTTCTGTAAAACAGCAGCCCCATCCAGCTGAACCTGCACTGCTGGAGGAAACTTTGTCCCTTCCTTGGATGTCACAGTCACTCCTCAGGGGTCACCAACCAGCACAGAGTCCAAGTTTCATTAAAAATCTTACCGCGTTTGGCCTGAACTCCTCTTTGTGGAAAAATCCTCCTGTCATCATCTTCTTACTGAATGTTACCACATCAGCTGGGTCATCCAGGCCCCAGTGCTCGTGTGCCCAGAACTTTCCTGTGCAGCCACCTCCTGTCTGCACCTCGTCCACCAGGAAAGCACAGCCATGCTGCAGAGACACGTGAGGAGCAGGGAGTGTGAGCCCTCCTTCCCAAAGCAGAAACACCTCCCTTAGTGAGCACATCAACACAAGCCATCAACCCCTCCTTCCTCTCCCTTCACTCCCCTCCTCAACCCCTCCACCAATGCCACTCATGTGTCAGATTTCATAATTGAAATTTCAGCTCTTTTTTCAGGAAGGCACTAGAAACTTGTTTTCTACCCATATTTATCAAGTAACATCATCATGTTTTTATATAGTCTTGAGCATTTCTAGAGGATACCTGAAAACATCTGGGAGGAGCAGAGGTGACATTTCCAAAGCCCCTGAGGGAAGCAGAGTGTCATTTCTAGGGGCTTTGTTTGTTAGAAATACAAAGTCTCTCCCCCAGTCAGAGTTGGGCATTCTGTGGCACACAGGTAGTACCAGGAGCATGAGCTGGTCATTTTAGGGGGGCATGAAAAGCTGCCTTTTCAGACAACTCTGCTGAAAGAGCTACTTGTGAGCTGGCAATGTGGGGTTTTTATGTGAAGGACTATTTTGTCCAAACTTTGTGATAGGGACAGCAAGGTATGTCATAATTCTGTATTTAAAAACAATAGGTAAGTGCTTTTGGCAGCATCTCTTCAGCACACAGATATTTTGAGGGTGAAAAAAAGCATGGAGTAAATATTACTGAGGGTCATAGCTTCTAAATAGGTAACTTTACATTCCAAATATGAAGACATCTGTCCATTTCATTGCTTTATTGTAACATCAGCACTGTGGCTGGACTCAAGCTGTGTTTCAGCATTTTTTTTTTCAATTAAAAACATGTCATTAAACATTTATACTTTTCACAACGTGGCACAGAGGCAGCAGCAGCAGCATGAACTGGTCATTTTAGGGGGCATGAAAAGCTGCCTTTTCAGACAACGTGTCATTAAACATTTATACTTTTCACAACCCGCTTCTTCAGAAGCAGAACCTCCTCAATGAACAAGCATGATCATTTAAAGAACACACCTGCAGAATTCACAGCTAATGAATCAGAGTAATTTCTCTCTAACTTTAAAAATAGAAGATTATTTATTTAGTGTGAATCAAATGGAAGAGAGCAGGGATTGCTGCTATGTGTACATACCTACCCTGACTGCTGCTAAGGAGGCCTGTGAAACCCTCCAAGAGCCTGGGGCAGGGCAAAGCCTCTGGAGACACCCACAGTGTGTGGGTGCATGTTTTAGCTACTCCTGAGTGCCCAGAAAAATGTTTTCTTACCTTTCTGGCAATATCTCGCAGCTTTCTGAAGAAGTCATCTGAAGCATGATTGTCCCCACCCTCTGACTGTATTGGTTCCACAATGATTCCAGCCACAATCTTCTTCTTTTTCCTGTACTTTACAATCAGGTCTTCCACCTGCAAATCAAACACTTATGGCACATCCTCCTTCCAGAACATTTGTACATTTCCTCCCAGCTAGATGAAATCTCATCAGAACTTCAACTTTGCATGGACATTCCTGGCTATAAAGGTATCAGGAGGCACAAAAGAATAACATGTAGTTCCTCCAGCATTTACCACTGCCTTCTTGCTCCTGAACAGGTTTAGCAACTTTGCATGGACATTCCTGGCTACAAAGGTATCAGGAGGCACAAAAGAATAAGTAGTTCCTCCAGCATTTACCACTGCCTTCTTGCTCCTGAACAGGTTTAAACCATGTCCTAATTACACTGTAACTAGCTGCACACTTATTTACTAGCCAGGTTCAGCTGGCCGTGTTCTGTGCACCACTGCAGCTCACTGGGCCACTGCTGTCATTCCACTTCAGTGATATGGAAGGAGATAGATTTTGTGTCAGAAACCAAAACTCTGCTAATGCATTAGAAAAAGTAATCTGGAAAATTCACTTTTCCCAGTCACCCACTTCAGATATATTAAAATTAATCAGATGAAATAGTGCAAAAAACCTGTTGTAAGGGGCTGACAGATAATTCTCAACCTCCTGGTGCCAGCTGCTGCAATTAATGGTGTGTTTGTGCTTGAAATCCCTCTCACAGCCCTCAGGGCCATGGCCCCTGCAGGCTGTGCAAAGCAGTGGTTTCCAAAGGGGGGCAGTAAGCCCAGCACAGACTTGCTAAGAAAATATTTGGCTTTTTTGGCTTATTTGTTTCTAAAATAACAGCATTCAGCATTCCACTTCTCCCACCAAAGCCACCCTGGGGCAGCCCAGGGAGTTCACTTGCTGTGCTGTGCTCTCTGAAGTGAGGCAGGTTTGGCCAAGTGGACTGGCAGGTCCATCTCTGCACACCAGAAGCTGCCATGGAGAAGCTGGAAAGGCTGAAATACTCTTAGAGGTCATCTCTGCAGAGAGGGTTATCCACAGTCACCCACACTGTGCTCTCTCTCAGCCCATGGCCCTTTGGCAAGAGCTGGCAGGTGAGTTCACTGTGATCCAACCAAGTTCTGGGGGTGAAATTTCACTTTGGTGTCACTCATGCAGCCCTGAATTCCCAGGGAGCTGGCAGGGAGAAAGGTCTGACTGTAAACAACACTGAATGCTGCTCCAATCACAGGCTGTTCCAATCCCTGAAAACATTCTTTTAGTGAAAAGCACTAATCCTACCAACACTATTCATTATTTCAAATCAAAAACAACAGAAAGCTGCCAGGGAATTTTTTACCTCCTCTAAACAACGGGCTTCTTCCTGTTGATTTTCTTTCACAAAGTCTTCCAGGGGATACTTTAGCCTTGGAAATGGAGCAATAGGCCAGTCCAGTGAGGGAATGTCCAGTTTGTGAATTGCTTTAGAGTGAGTTGTAGCTAAGCAACCTAAGCCCAGAGAGGGAAAAATTAAAATAATACCCATCTAGGATCAATACAAGAAAAAAAGCCACCAAGAGGTGAAAAATGGCCTGACTGTAGAATTCTCTTAACTGCTCTGTGTTTTTACTGTCTTCTGAAATACTGGGTAATTGGATTTAGTCAGGCCTAAATGGATTGCTGTAGATCTTAAGCATCAGATTCCACATGCTCTGCTCCAGAAGAGCAGGAGAACCTCTGTCAGTCTGAACAGGTTGCTCAGACAAGGTGGGTTTCATCCCTCCAAAGACACATAGCTCACAGCTACAGCACTCTCAGGTAACATGCTTAAAACAGGGACTGAGCTGATATAAACCAGTAAAAGTGAGTGACAGCATGTTTGTGGTTATTTTACCCCAGGAGTTAGATTTTCATGAGTACAGACAGGAAACTGCAGATTCAGAATGAAGATAAGAGTCTGTCTGAGAAGAATTTTTCAAAAACCATATAATCAATTCCTACTGTCACACAACCACTCCACTGCTGGTGGGGCTCCCAAGGCAAACCTTAATGAACCTCCAGCTTTTCCACTGGTACTGTGTATGCAAGGACAAGCACACTGAGCTGAGGGGGCACAAGGGACAGCTTACCCAGGGTCCTGCCGTGGAAGCCACCCATGAAGGAGAGCATGGCGTAGTCAGGGCAGCCAGGGGGCTGCAAGCAGAGCACACAGTGGGGTCAGAAAACATCCCCCCCACTGCCCCCTGAGCTCCTCTTCCATCAGGCACCACCAGTTGTTACAGCCTCCCCTTCAGCAAGTACACAGGTCACCCCAGCCCTGCCCCAGCTCCCAGAGCCCGGTGTCACCATGGATGAACCCTTGGTGTGGCTGTTGTGGCCTGACATCACTGCACAGAGAGCTCAGGCAGGGCTGAGCCCTCAGCACAGTCCCCCCTTTGTGCATAAGTTAGGAGCACCAAGTTATGGGGTGGCTGGGGCTGTGGGGGCTCAGTGAGCACAGGCTGGGGCTCCCCTGTGCTGCACCCCCTGCATTCCTGATGACTCCCTGATCTTTGTGGGGAGCAGTCTCTATTTCACCATTTCCTAAATGTACAAAGCCCAGATTCCACTTTACATGTAGCAAACCAAACTTATCCTCCCAATCTTCCCTTCCAAGCCCAAACCATTGGTACATCTATAGGTGTGGTAAAGAACAAATGTTACCTGGTTAATCATGCAAGATTCCAGTTCTTCTTTTGTGACATTATTATGGCCCCTCTCCTTGTTCTGCAAAAAACCCAAACAACCCAACATAAGTGTCCCTGTAGTTGTAACCAATGTACCACATTGTGGCTGAACCACAAACCAGGAATGCTGGTATTCAGGACTGGAGTCAAGGAATACCCTATCTGTGGCTTTCACATGCTGACTACAATCTTCATTTTCTTTATTTCCTTTACTTTATAACTTCTAAAGTTGTGTCAATATAAAGTAAAAGCTTAGACGAAGAGGTTTTAATAAAGATTTTACACTAGATTTTAGAATATAAACAACACCATGAGCAACACAACCTCCAAGCCTCACTTTGTTTTGTAATAACAATTCTAATTATGAGTAAGTACTCATTTTTACCTCTAAACCTACAAAAATACCGTAATGTTTTACTTACTCTGTACCACATGAATATTGCTTTAAAGGCATTCTCATTAGAGCAGGATCCACAAGACATGGTCACCACCTGTGACAAACCCTTAGGAGCCACCTGTCAGCAAAGACAGAAAATTACTCTTGACAAATTGAACACAAGTACAGTGCAAAATGATAATAACAGTGGTGATAATAATAGTGATCAGTCCACAGGTATCTCAAACTTACTGATAGCAAAGACTCCTCCAGTTTTTCTGTAAAGTTCTCTGGAGGTAAAATTCCTAGGGCAGGTCTGTTGATAAAAGTGCTCTAAAAAGACAAAGGAAGAGGAATTGTTAGGTCTTAGTATCACATGGAAAATATGTTGGTATCAAAGAAGTTACATTTTATTCTAATTTTAAATTCCAGGCAGAAATCTGTATCATGGCACAAGTAGTTTTAAGGTAGAGATTGCTATTCCTGCCTTAGCATAGGTTGTTCTGTCTAATCCTTACTACTTTATTCTTGCAGGACACCTTAGGAAAGATGCATGCTAACTCACATTGACATTTCCTCTTCAATGTTGCCATTTTAGCTGCTCAATCTCAATTTTCCTTACACACAGAAAATAATGCTTTAAAATCTTTATGACTTGCTTTCAGTTTGAGAAGCTAAATTCAGTTAGGATAGCAGCATTTTCATCCTTAGTGAGCTTCAAGACAGACCATTTTGGAACACTGGAAGGTGCAGCCAGGCTCTTTGGTGGAAGATGAGAAGCCATGGGCATGGATCAAAGCATGACAAGTACTGATTTGGGTACAGGGAAAAGGTTTTGCAGGAAGAGAACAGTGAAGCAGTGAAACAGGCTGGTTTTTTGGAGGTCTTCAAGGTCCCAGATAAAACCCTGAGCACCCTGGTGTTATCTCACAGCCATCCATCTTGGAGCAGGACGTTGGCCAGGACACCACCTGAGGTCCTTCCAGTGTCAGTGGGGCTGTGAACTGGCCACATCAGGATTCCCACCTTTGGGAAAGGTCATTTTGGTGTCAGGGAACAGCAGCCTGCAGCCCACACAGGGGTTTCTAAGGAGCAGCTCTGGAAAAAGCCCCTCAGCCTCCCTGGTGCACTAATGCAGATGAATGTCACATTTATGCAATTAATTTAAATTGTGTCATGGATTAAAATTGATTCATTGCTGCTCTTGGTCTTTGTGGGTAATCTTATTTGATTCATACTGTGCTACTCTTTATTTTAAATTAAATTTTCTCAGAGAAGGACAAGCTCAATAAATTTGCCAACTGCCAAGCAGCTTTATTTGCCCTTTTCTTTTGTTTGTTGCTTTTCTTGTTGAACAAGTAATGGCTGAAATTAAAGGCTGAGCTTTGATAAGTTAAGTCTCAATGGGTCTCCAGAGGGGACACACAGCCTCCCCCCAAACACTCATATTTTCAATGCAGCTCAAGCTTGCACATTTATCAGCATCCTTCAGTCCTCCTCAAGACAAATATTCATTCCAAGAGGTGTGAGGCACAGCAAGGGCTGTAAGTGGTCACACTGCACCTGTAAGGACATTCCATCAGGATTCCTAGGGAAAACCAAGTATCACACAAGACAGAACACTGGATTTGCTAGGACTTTGTAGATTGTTTAAGTGTCTCGCTTCCAAAACACTGTTACAACAGACTCAAGCTTAAAAGAAAAGCTAAGCAAGGATGCTAATGACAGGTTAACACAAAGTGTTTGTTTAGTAGCTAAGAAATCACACTTGACTTTTTATCTCAGTTCAGAAGTAAATTTTCATATCACGTTCAAAAGAGAAGAGCACAAATTTGTGGTGAACTTGATTATGGGTTGTCACAGGCAATTGACAACATTTGCCATTAAGCAGAAAAGAGTATTTTTCTTTTGTAGTTAATGAGATACCCAGAACTGAGAAAAATAGAACATTGCCATCAAGCTGCTGTGGACTCCAATAAACAGATGCACATTCTGTGTTTATAGCTGGTAGAGAGGGTATGTGGAGCATTACAGACAAACCAAAGGAAAGGTCCCTCCAGGAAAACACCAACCCCTTTGCCAACACTAATGGAAGTTGTGCCACTCGTTGGGACTTTGGAGGAGTTCCTTCACTGCAGGCTCCCAGGAGTGTCACCTGCCCTTTCCCAGTGGGCAAATCAGCAACTGCCACCAGCAACTGGGCTTTTTGGTTTTTTAACTGGTTTGGGGATTTTTGTTTGTTTATTTTTTAAATCAGGCTTTGCTTACTGCTGCATTATAGAGAAGATATTACTCTCAGAAATCAACCTTATGAGTTAATAGAAGTATTCATAAATATTGGTATTTACAAAATATTCAGATCTGCCTTTGATAACTCCAGCATTTATAGTCTTATTTTTTGGGGTTTTTTTGGTTGGTTGGTTGATTTTTTTTTTTTTGTGGGTCTAGTCTTATTTTTTGGGGTTTTTTCGGGGTTTTTTTTGGTTGGTTGGTTGACTTTTTTTTTTTTTGTGGGTTGGTTTTTTCGTTTGTTTGGGGTTTTTTGTGGGTTTTTTTTTGTTGGTTGGTTTATTTTTTTTTTTTTGGGGGGTGGTTTTTTCGTTTTTTTGGGGTTTTTTCGGGGTTTTTTTTGGTTGGTTGGTTGACTTTTTTTTTTTTTGTGGGTTGGTTTTTTCGTTTGTTTGGGGTTTTTTGTGGGTTTTTTTTTGTTGGTTGGTTTATTTTTTTTTTTTTGGGGGGTGGTTTTTTCGTTTTTTTGGGGTTTTTTCGGGGTTTTTTTTGGTTGGTTGGTTGACTTTTTTTTTTTTTGTGGGTTGGTTTTTTCGTTTGTTTGGGGTTTTTTGTTTTCTTTTTTAACAACTTGAGGTATTTTAGTCCTGGGAAAGGCAGAATTTCTCACCTGAAGACATGAGTACTCCATAAAGGAAATCAGCTCAGGGAACTCAAATGTCTGCATTTCTTTGTCCTGCTGGAGTGCACTTAGGAGATGGGAATCAGCCATTATCCCCAACTTCAAAAAACCCCCTAAACTTCCCACAGCATTCCAGATGTAGGGAACCATGTCCAAGATATTATATTATCTCTCAAGGTTTTGGACTTGCTTTCAGGCTCAAAAAATCTTCAGAAAACAATATTAAAAATATTAATTTGAGAGAGTAAGTTTGAACTAGGATTTAAATGTGGCTGCAACTATATCAGGTGCTTGCAACACCCAAATGTTTACTTTTTGTAAAACTTCCCAGAGGTTTTGGTGTTTTCTTAAACACTACAAAGCTCTTTTCATCCAGTGAGAAGTAAAGCAAGCAGATCCTATCATAAATTAAATTGAATCATTAGCATTCCCTATCAGTCTGAGGGAAAAAGAGAAAGCCCACAACAAGGAGAGAGAGAACTCCTTCACGTCCTTCATGTTCTAATTCACTTACCAGGTTCTGTGGCTGCTGTAAAAGCTTTATCAGAGAGGGATGGCTGTAACCTAATTAAAAAGAACAAAGAAAGAAAGCAGTTCTTTTTATCTGGTTTCAATGAAGTAATGTAAAGCATAATCTAGAGAATAACCATAACTTCATGCTTGACTGTTTATGTGTAACTTGTATATTTTTAACTACTAATAATGGGACTTCTTTTGAAGTAGGAGAAACCTCTGGGCTCTTTGTCCCTCAGCAGCCTGTCTGGGTGCAGGGCACAGCACAGCACTGCTGTTGGGAGCTGTGGCACACCCATTTCCTTACTTTGACAGAGTTTTGCTTGGAAAAAGATGCAACAGTTTATCCTTCTTACCAAGAAACTAAGATAGCTTCAGTTTGAACACATTGGAGGTGCTTAATTTATACCCATTGATAGTCTAAAGGATAACTTGCTTGCTTACAGGCAAAACCAATTTATCTGGTGTTAAGAAAAATAATCTTCAAAGGAGGCCAGAAATTTCATTTTAAGCCTGATCTCTAATGTATGAAATACCAACGCCAGAGATTAACATCATCTTTTAAATTTCCTTGTAGAAACAGTTGGAAACCTCATCTTCCCTACTGCTCAAGAAGTCAGACAATGGTAATTTTGTTACAAAAGCTTATTGTGCTTCTGAATCCCCATTCCAGTGGAATGACAACAGCCCTGATTATCCTGTTTGAGCAATGGAGCATTAGGAGACTATGTTAACAAAACAATTATAAATTCAATTTTGAATACTTTAGCTGAAAACAAAAGAATATCCATATTGTTTTATCAGCATGTCATGATGATAAATCTGTTAAAATTATTATGAAGATAATAATAGAGGCTATTTGGGACACAGAACAACTAAATCTGCATGGCATCTGCTGTGATGGGAAGAGCTGTTCAGCTAGAGGCAATGACACATTGAGAGCTGTGTCCTTAAGAGCTGCACCTGTGGCTGCCACTGAGAGCCCCTTTGAGAGTAAATCAAGTGATTTTACTTTAGAAATCTCCAAAGCACAGCTACTACTGTTCAGGAAGCTCAAGGATCAGCTCTGGTGCTGCCTGTAAGAACTGGCAATCCTGCTGCTGGTGTTCCCACACGTGCCATTGTATCAGAGATACCATTCTCCTGCATAACACAAACCTCTGCCACCCCTGATTTACCCTTTTGCACCCACACAGAATTTCTCTCTCCTTCTCTTCACTTCAGGCCAAAGGGTCTGGTCTTCTCCTAGCACTCCCTCATCCTTGTGCCTCCTCAGAGGGGCCCCAAGGAGGAGAGTGTTGTATTTGCAGGGCACCCCGTGGCAGGGAGGAATGATGCATCTGACTCCATGTTCTCAGAAGGCTAATTTATTACTTATAATACTGTATTATATTAAAGAATACTAAACTATACTAAAGAATACAGAAAAAATATTTACAGAATGCTAAAAAGATAGTAATAAAAACTCGTGACTCTCTCCAGAGTCTCAACACAGCTTGGCACCAATTGGCCAAAGAGTGAAAACAACTCACAGCAGAACCCAATGAAACAATCACCTGTGGGTAAACAATCTGCAAACACATTCCACATGAGCAAAACAGAGGAGAAGCAAATGAGATAAGAATTGTTTTCCTTTTCTCTGAGGCTTCTCAGCTTCCCAGGAGAAAAATCCTGGGCAAAGAGATTTTTGAAGAGAATGTGAATGCCACAGGAGAGGATCCTGAAAGCCCAGCTGCTGTGACAGGTCGGGCTGTGTGACAGGAGCTGAGCTGGCATGTGGGTTCACAGGCAGGAACTAACACCAGGAAGAAGTAAATGCTTGAATAACCATTATATAACTGTGGTAGACAAGTCAAACAGCTCCAGGCTGGCATGGCAAACAGGCACTAACTCATTTCGGTGCCGTGACCAGCACAAGGGTTTGCAGTGTTACAAATCTGCTCCCAGAGCTGGCTCTGAGGAAGGGCACCTGCTCCATCTCTCTTGCTGGGTGTCTGGATCAGCGTGACAGGAACGTACATGTCCTCCAGGCTCATGAATGTGCCTGTCTGCAAAAGGAAAAACAACTCGAGCCTGCTAAAATAATGAGATGGAGAAAGCCCAAAGAATCCTTTGAACTGAGCAGCAGGCTCCTGTCAATAATATCAAACTACACCTCTCTGCATCTCCCCAAACACAACAGACCTTCCCAGCACTGAAAAACACATTGTTTCATTTGCTATTCCAGGATGTTTGCTGGCAAACATGTCAATAACATCCTTCTTGCAATTGGCTCCATGGGGTTTCTAACTCTATTAGACAGAATAGATGCAGGATGAAAGGACAGCTGTGCTACAACTGCCCTTAAAAGTGTGGTAAAAACTATTTCAGTTTTTGTTTTTCGGCAAGAGACAGCCTAGAGCATCTTTGCCTAGAGGTTTTTTATACTTTATTTCTTATCTCTCCACACAGGCACTTATTACTTCTCAACCTCTGCTGATAAATATATTCTAGTGTAACAGATCAATATTAAATCTTGGGGAGTCCTGACAGATTCATGAAAGGTTTTATTGGATTTACTTGCAGAGAGATAAGCACAGATGACTAACAAGCACCTTGTGATCTTGTTTTGCTCTCCCAATCCAGGCCCTACCTCTGTCACCAAGAGGGACATTATTAGTAACCTGGGCAACTTCAGATAATCTTGTCATTCAGTACAACTGAAACACTTAAATGAATGTTGTGTGTTGGGCTTAGGTCAGCCTGTAAGTATGAAATTTCCACTTACTCTTTGTTGCTGCACATCTTAGAGCCATAATTTGAGAATGTTCAAGAAACACTGTACTGCAGCTCCTTTGGGACTGAGAAATGTGTTCCCTAGCATAAAACCCAGCTTGTTCTTGGGAGGGCATTGCCTCATGAGAAGGAGGAACTACATGGCTTAGGTCAGTCACAGCAGTGGAGTCTTGTCTTATGTCACCAACCAGAGAAAGTAAATTGCAGAGCCCCTGCCCATTTCTGCCCATTAAGAAAATATTTCCTCCATAATACTTCAATATTCTTTACACAAAACTGTATTAAAAGAGGTATGCTTGCACCATCCAGCTCCAGAAGGTCAGAAAGCCTCAGTGCACTGTCTGTACAGTTTCATTCTTTTGGGGTATGCACTGACTTTCATACTTTGGAGTGTGCATTTGACTACATGACTGAGACTTGTTTCTCCAAATCAATTTCTTGTGTGGAGAATGGGAAGCCATGTAAACACATCTCCTTTCCTAGAACCTAAAATCCAACCTCATTGGTATCCAAGCAATCCTGGGTCTCACCCCTATTTCCTCATGAGTGGAGGCCAAAATTATCTCAGTGCAGCCTGAAAGATACAAAGCAGTGAGAGCTTGTGATGGAGGAAAGAAGCTACAGACATTGCAGGCTCAGGAATGATTTCACTGACTGAGTGCTGCAGGACACCAACAGCACTGGCTGCAAAGAAGGCTGGGGTATGTGAACACCCATAGCAGTCACAAGGTCTTAGATGCCAGAAGTTTGGTAACAACCTGAACATCATCAAATTCTGTTTCCCAGGAAAGGAGGCCTGTAGGGATGATTTTGAGTCATCACAGTTTCTATACATAGTACAAAATCTACCTTTTAAATTATACCAGCACTTCTGCTCTTTTTGCTTCTGCAGTAGTGTATTTTTGAGCAGCTGAGAGGAACCATGGATGAGGAGCAAACAAACTGGACTGAACTCCACCAAAACCTGTATGCCTTGCAGCTGGGGCTCACATTTCTGCCTTGCTTCTGCTTGCAAGGCTTCCCAAAGCAATCAGCTGACTCTCCCAGGCACTTGCCAGGCCCTGTGCCTGCTCTCCCAGACAAATGAGCTGCCACCTTTGCCTTCAGTCAGTGCCACAGCTCAGTGCTGGGCTTGTTTCATCCTGCTGCAGTCCACATGGCTCACTCTTTTTTTCCCCCACTTATTTTGAGATAGAAACATTAACTAAACCATATAATTTCATGTTAAAATGTCCACATTATGCTTATTAATATTTAAAATAGTAACGTACTGTTACAGAATCACAAAGTCACAGATCCAAGCCAAAAAATACAACCTGAATTGTGAAACTTGCACATTCAAATTGAGATTAATACTAGAGCTTCTTCCTGGCACCACTATGCACTTTAAGAGAGCTTTAGGTATAGAATTTGTAGTTCCTCCAGCTATCCAAACCCACCACTACACAGTACACAGCAGTGAGCTGTCCCTGATCACAACAAGGTGTTCATTATGTCACTTCTGTTTTTTAAAATTAATCAACCAATTTCCCCGGTAGTGCCTGAGATAAGAAAATGACAGGTTGAGGACAAAACAAAACATTTTGGTACAACTGTCTCCTACCTATTGGGATGGAAGAAATCTGAGAGTAGAGGTCCAACATACGATTGCCATCTACATCTACGAGGTAATTCCCTCGGCTCTCTTCATAATTGCAAAAGAAGTGCACAGCTTCTGCATTCTTCAAGGAAAAAAACAATTAGTGCTTTCAAAAGTGGCAGTACGTAGGAAGGTGCAACTAATGGTTATACAGCCAAATCTGATAAAAATATCTGATGCTAGGATAAAAAAGCACATTATATTCACTGCATGGGAATATCTGTACAGCTATTTTTATACTGACTGTTAAAAGGGTAAGTCTTTACTTTTTCTACAGAAATGAAGCACAGACGTGGAGAAATTGCTCATCTTAGGAAGGCAATATGTACTTAGGCTGACATACTTTTAAACTCAAGCTATAATATACCTTGTTTTCATTGGCCACTCTGTAACAACTCTGAAGTTTTTCTTTAGACACACATAGTTTAAACACATACGTTGAAAGAAAAATCCCTGATGCTAGCAAAATGATCCTGCAGTATTCAAAATATATACTACAAAAGATTTTATTCAAATGCATATATAAACCACACATAATGTACTCAGAGTGGAAACCCTGAGTCACTGTTTCACCTTTCTCTGTGGCACAAACATACAAACCAGGATTTTAAAACAAGTTCTGAAATCAAAGTTAACACCCTCCAAAACAGAAAACTTGACAAATTACCTGAATGCCATTCAGCTTCTTCATTAATTCCTGTAGAAAAACAAATGTCACAGTCTCAGGTGTGTAATTTGGCAAATACTAATGGAGAATGTTTATTTCTTTTTCCTGATCCCATAAATCATATGCAAACTTTGTAGTCCTGTGTGCTTACCAGGCAACTCTACCTGCCACAGGAACTTTCATGGTGCATCTTGCAAATATTACAGTCAAAACTATGACCTGTGGCATGCAGAGCTAAACGGGCTGCAAACACAGTTTAACTGTAAATCTCCAAAAAGGGAAAGCTGCCTCTTCTATATTGACCAACTGAACTGAGAAAACAAGAGAGAAATCAGAAAATAAGAGAAGCCAGAGTCACACAGAAGGGATACTGGTATATTGGTTCTAGAAAGACAGCTCCTTTTTGTTAAAAACAACATAAAAACCTCACAAAAAACCAAAACCCACCACATGCACAAATGCTGATTCTGTCAATATCCAGCAAATTCAAACTCTTGCTTCATTTCAAAACCTAAGCATTATTTAATATAATGAAAAGTTTCTATTTCAGCAGGAGGACGAGTGACCAAGCCTGATCAGATGTTTTATTAAAATGATGCTCTTTTGCTTTGAATTATTCTGTGGGAATAATTATTATTAGTATTATATGGGAACTTGGTAGCTGAGACTCAGATCTGCCTCTTAGAGAGGGGCATTTTATTCATGAGCTTCTCATTCTCAACCTCCTGATAAAAGTGGGCATAGACTTATGGAATTATATTTATTCATATCAGATTTAAGGTTTGAAATAAATCTGTTTTCCAGCAAGTTAAACACAGCTAAAGATAAAAAAAACCAAGTTACTATACTTTGGAAACTTACTCTAGATCGTGGTCCAGGAACTTCTGTCTTCATCAGAGGTCCATCATAATCAAAATCCACGTCAATTTTAGCTGCAGCTTGACTGATATGCCTGTGTCCTGTAAGAAATAATGAAAACCTGAGTACAGACCGTATTTTCTGTGCTCTCCTTTTAGAAGATACATCCATACTTTGCCTGACTGAAAACACTTGACAGATGAGACCAATTACACTGAGCTGTCTGAAGTGAACTATGTATCTCATCTTTGACCAGTCTTAAAATAAAACCAATACCAGTGAGGCGGCATTAAAAAAAACCAAACAACAAACCAAAAAATCCCAAGTGAAATCACAAGGCAACCCCAGAGAAAGAGAGGCAAATCTTCCAGTAAAGCACAGGAGTATTGAGAGCATATCTCTTTCCATCTCTTTTGTTGAGTCTGCCCATTATGCCCCGTGCAAGCTTTTGCCATAAATTCCCCACTCCTACACAGAGATGGACAACTACCAGTAATAACCAAAAAGCCTGATGGAGTCCACAGGAAAAATCCAGTATGATGCTTTTCAATAGCCCAAAGAACACTCTTTGGGAAAGTTTTCTCTCAGGAAAGTAAATGGCCTTGTCTCACATAAACCAGCATCCTGCAGTGCAGCTCTGAAACCTGAGTCCAGTCACTGCCAGTTTTCTTTCTGATCTTGCTGGTTTTTATCCACACGTGTAGGGAATCATAATAAACGTGACACCTTAATGAAAACAAAAGGCAAAAATCTCCTGTGCTTTACCAACAACAGGTTCTCCTTCCCTTTCTGAAATAACTGTTTTAAAACCCAGAGTTCAGGCAAACTTCATATGACAGAGACAGTTCTGGTAAGCATATATTCCAAATATGTACATATTCCATTAAGGGGATTATGGGATAATATGGGGATTGCACATTTGCAAAAAAAGGAAATACAGACACCAAAGCTCTACCAAGGAGATCAGCAGAGACTATGAGCTTGCTCTGGTTACATATTGAACTAAACAAACATTCTTGGCAATTACATTTTTGTCATGGAGAATCTGCAAACCTCTACCCAGCACGGTATCAACAACAAACTGATCTTTATACTCTTAACTTGGGGGAATCACACTCAGACCTGAAAGAAGAGGGCATGACTTTTTTAATATCTGTGGTAGACATTTTTAAGCTGGTGTAATCTGGATGGCCCAAAATGAAGATCCTTAGCTCTCCTTGTCACCAGCTGCAGCTCAGATCCAGGCTCAGCCTGGCAAGTCAGGCAGCACCAGCTCTTGCCTGGGCACTTGGAGCAGCAGGGTCTGAAGGTGCCACTCACCACATCCTGCTGTGCCAGGGCCATGCTGCCATGTGCTAAACCAATAAACTGCACCCCAGTTTGGCAGAGGTGCAGGGAGGGAGATGCCTGGGCAGCCAGGCCAGCAGTCAAACACAGGGAAACACCTGGGGTGCAGCACTGCCCAAGAAACCCTGACAGCACCACTTCCATCCATACCCACCTCTCACTGCCAGAGCTCTGTTCCAGCAATGTACTGAAAATGTTTTGTGTTTGGAGGTAACAGTTGTTAAATAAACCAAATATTTATCAAGGAAAACAGAAGGTATCCTGTGATACTGCTCGGCAGTGCTCCGAGCACAGCATTCAGCCAAAATTTCCAACAGTGACTCGAGACATTTGCCTCAGCTTGTGTCAGCCCAAGCTGGGATGTCTCAAGCAAGCCTGATTTCAAGAAACTATTTGGAAAATCACCGCGCTTTGAAAGCATCTTTGAGTACTTAAAGTCACTGCTCATCTTGGGAAAACTTAGTCTGCAAAGATGATTATTCTCCCCAGCTTTAATTCAGATGCGTCAGTGCCTCTCTGCAAAGCTATTAATAGGTTTTGTTACAGCAACACCATTTTTGTGGCATTCTGTTTAACATTCATGTAAATTTGGAGACTGCATGGCAACTGCTCCACTGAGGGGGGAAAAGCTACTGCTTGTAAAAGATCAAAAGGTGACTCTTGGCAGGGGGGATGTTGGGGGCACACCCAGGCTGTGCCAGGCACAGCACTGACACACAAGGAGCTCTCCTGGCTAAGGGCACCCAAACAGCACAGACACAGCCTCTCACTGCCATATGGCCCAAGACTTTTGCAGCCCAATGCTCCCTTGGTGCTCAGGGCTATTAATAGGTTTTGTTACAGCAACACCATTTTTGTGGCATTCTGTTTAACATTCATGTAAATTTGGAGACTGCATGGCAACTGCTCCACTGAGGGGGGAAAAGCTACTGCTTGTAAAAGATCAAAAGGTGACTCTTGGCACACCCAGGGGATGTTGGGGGCACACCCAGGCTGTGCCAGGCACAGCACTGACACACAAGGAGCTCTCCTGGCTAAGGGCACCCAAACAGCACAGACACAGCCTCTCACTGCCATATGGCCCAAGACTTTTGCAGCCCAATGCTCCCTTGGTGCTCAGGGACGTGTCCAAAGCCGTGTGGTGACAAAGGTAAAGAAGCCCAGCAGTTTGGAGTAGCTGAGAACCGCAGCTCAGCTGAGGGCAGCAGTTTTCTGAGCACAGGGTATGGCCCCAGCCCTGCTCCCTTTACAGCCCATTTCCTCATTTCCAGCCTCACACTGCCCTTGCTCTGCAGGCCAAACAGGAGCTCGGGCCACTCTCCAAAGGCACAGAGGAGGTCAGAGCCCTGCCAAAGGCAGCCTGGGCACCCCTGCCTGGGCACTCATGGCTTTCTGGCAGCCCTCTCTCCTGCACCCCTGCAATGCTTTGTTCTGCAGGCCCAGAGAACAGCAGGACACGGGTGCTGCCTCCTCTCTCCAGTGCCTGTGGCCCTGCTCACAGCACAGCTCTGGGACGTGGCTGCTCTCCTGTAAAGGCTTTTCCAGGCACTTGGACAGGGTGATGGATGGCTGCATCAATACCTGCTTTGTTTAGCCTGGAGGAGGATTTTTCAGGCCATGCTCTGTCTCCCTTGCTTCCCCCCAGCCCCAGCATCAGCACCACAGTCTCCTAATGGTGCAAGAAAATGCAAATAAATCAGGTCACTCACTGTAGTGCTTCATCCCCTGGGAAACTGCAGCAGGCTCTGCTCAGCTGGCATTTCTATCTTGAAGGTACTCAATGAGCTTTGCAACTCAGCCCATATTTTTACTGTTTAACTTTTTAATATCAACTTACCCTGCAACAGAAACCCTGAAGACAGAAGACACAATGTAATTCAGGCTACTCCAACTGGATATTTGGGAGTTATAGACGTTTGCAGGCCAGGACTGGGTTTTTGCCTCCCAAAAAGACAGTGGAGAAGGGATAGGTAAAAACTGAGATTGTCACTATGACCAAGCAAGGTGTTTTCAAGAATTGAGAATCCCTGGTAGCTGGTTCCTAACTAACAGCATTAACTTTGTAATAAAAGGTAATCCCTTGATTTTCTGTTGGCATCTGAACAAACTACCTTAGAAAAAGAGGATTTTGTGTTATATTATCTTAAGAACAGGAGCAAATGACAGAACCTCAGTTCTCATGTTCCAAATGTGTAGAGCTAATGGGCTCTGACCAAGTGTCCTTCTCTAAAGAAGCATTACCACAGCTCTTAAATTACATTTAGCTGACATGACCAAGAACAGCACCCTTTTTTCCCCTGATAAACAAAGCTGTCTCTTTTTTATCATGGCAAAAGTCAAAACACAAGCACAGGTTAATAAACCTCATTCAGAGAGCACACAGGCTGAACAATTTGCACAGAATTTTCTACCCATCCCATTTAAAGAAGGTGGGCATAATAAGTTAAGTTCTATTTTTCTTGCAGACTTCTCAAAGCTCTCATCACACATAATCTTTCTGAACACTTGAATAACATCACCAATTTATCACATCCTTCCTTTTCATCCAGCAGGATGTCATCACATGCTAGCAGGCAGAAAAGCTCATTTCCCAACTTTGCTTCCCCACGCTGCCCCCCTTTCTCTCCAGGGGTCCCAGTCAGCAATTTTAACAAAGTGCTACATTGCTATAGCAACATAATTAATATAAGTGCACCCTGCTAATTTGGGGATGCTGGTAGTCACAAAGAGCACCACTGCTGGCAGGTCTGTGCTGAGTGCTGATCTCTGATAACAGAGCTGCAATCAAGGCAGGGCTAGAAAGAGCCTGAACCTCTCATGTGTCTGACCAAAAATAACACTCACATTACCACAGTTCCTGAGTGTGCAACTGGATATTAGCTGGGAGAAACTCCAGTGGAGGCACTGAAAGGACATGGGTGTAACGAAGAGAAGGAACAATTCCAAGGAAAGGAAAAGAAGAGGAATGAAAGCCCCTAAGCAGAGCTCTCAAACACAAGAGTCTTGCTGTGAAGGGCTGCAGAGGGGAAGCCCTGCAGTGCCCAGGGAGGCACATGCCATGTGCCACACCACTGCTGCCCTGGGCACGTGCAGACAGGCAACCCCCCTTGCATGGCCTCAACCTCCCCTCCACAGTGTCGATCAAACCACCTTCCAGACAGAATTTTTAGAGCATGGAGGCCCTGACAGCCAAAAGTAGGAGGACTGTGATTTCCTCTGAGTCCTCTTTATGTGTTACAAGTAGAATCTGTTACTAACAGATCTTGAAAGGGAATGGCAAAAGGCCAGACTAGCTAGAGATGTTTGGGAAATGAACATCACTATTGCATAACATTGTGAAAAGTGAGATTGCTATTTACAGAGTGCTTATGCTGCAAGATCAGAAGCTCTTCCACATGAGATTGTCTGTGTTTCAGCACTCCCACATACACACTTTGGATTCTCCAAAGATGAAGGCAAAAACTAATACCACACAGGCCATGAAGAAGTGGAAACTCCTGGAATCAAAAACAAGAGAAATTCCCCTTCACCATCCCAGCACAATCCCAAATCAGCTCCTCAGGAGAGTTACAGGAGCATCCAACCACTGCTCTTGTAGTTCTTGTGATCTGAACCAGTTGTAACATCCTCTCTCTTCCAACAGCTCAACAGCTACAGAGCTCATCAGGGCACCTCTGGAGGTGAGCAACCAACCACAAGGAACACCCTTGGGAAAACAAGGTGGGAAAACAGCCAGCAGCCAGCCTTTGTGGCACAGAAGGAACAAGAAAACTGGATGGGAGTATCACATTCACTCAAGAAACTGAGAACAGCAGTCCGGCTCAGACTCTGCCTTGTACCAGAGCCTGCTTACAACAACAGGTTTTATGTGATTGTTTTTATATAGCTCAGCTTTGTGAAAGTGTGTGATCAGACAGAAAAGTAAAGGTTCCTCAGTCCAGCAGGAGAGGTTGCACTCCAGTTTCCAGGGCTTCAGTTGAAGCTGACCTCAAGCTGACCTCTACAATCCCAAGAAGGGGATTGTTCTCTGCTTCTGCCACACATCCCTCACACAAATCCAGGCTGTTCTCTCTGATTTCCTTAGGGAGGCTCTTAATGTACAAACCAAATAAAAAAAGTAAAATGTCTTTGCAAGGATCAATACTGGAGACAAAAGTGTGACTGAGAATAAATCATTCTCATGGCTTTCCAGCCTCTTTGTGGTAACTGTGGTGGGGACAAGTCAATAACTAGTATGAACATCTCTCAGACTTTACTGCAGTGCACCCAGGTGCTAAACATTATTATCCTCTCCAGAGAGACAGCAAACAGGCTGAGTTAGGTGAGGTACAGCCTCAACAAGTGCTAGTCTACTTAGTGCACTGCACTGGAAGGGCACAGACTCTGGAGGAGAAAAATTGGACCTCCGAGGAGAGACTCAATCAGTATTCAGCAGAGAGAAAAGTATGAGGTCTTGTGGGAGATAACAGTTATCAAACATGTAAAAGGCTGCTGCAAAGAAAAAATAAACATTCCAGCCTCCAGGTCCTTTGAGGGCAGGACAAATAGTAAGGATTTGATTTTTATCCTGTTGTGAAACTTAGGCTAAATATTAGAGAAAAAGTTTTAAAGGTAAGGTCAGTCCAGCAATAAGAAAATTGCCTGGGGAGGCTGCAGAAGCTGCAGAACAGATCAGCATCCTAGAAGGGCATGGCCATGCACTAATGCAAACTGATGCTACCTTCAGGCAGCAGCCTGACCTTCTGCCATGCTTTCAGTGCAGGATTCAAAGACAAATTCAACCCCTTTGGGTAATCAGCAGGAAACTGAACTACATCTCTGGAGTGCCAGCCTGTCCTAATAGCTGTGGGACTGCCCTACCAGCCAACAACCAACTGCCTCCAAAGCATGGAGCCAGAACAGCTTTCCTGCTGCAGTGCCAGCTGATAAAAGCAGAGCTGGCACAAAGGGAATAACCACTGACATGCACACTACCAGTTGTGATCAGCTTGCAGCACACCAGGCTGACAGGAACAACAGAACTCAATTCAGGTAAGATGTAACACCAAGATACACCCTCATTCTCCACCAGCAGCCTGGCCCTGCCTGGCTGATTCCCACAGAGAGCGCAATGCAGGAGGCTTTGTAAAAGAAAGATTAGGTTAGTTACTCACTCTGTTGTCATTCTGCCACCCTTCACATTCTAGTGAACTTTATCTTTGAGGGCAAACTATCAAGCAGATCAAACAGAGAAGGAAAACAAAAGCATACCTGATTAAGGGCTTCTTTTCAAGAAGGGTGTGATACTTACAGGCTTCACATTTTTGGGTAAGATTTAAGCCGGGTATTGCTTATCATTTATTACTTATTATCATGTGTTTTCCTCAGCTTTTGCATTTTGATCAACTTAAATAATTTCCATTTTCCATTTCTAGTTTGCTTGCCAGGGTTTAACATTGTGTAAGGAGAACAGTGTGCAGTGGTTAAGTAACAAAGATTTTCTAACTACAGAAATAGTCAAGGATGAAAAAAACCTCTTTGTGTAAATAAATTTGTTGTAGATTCAAGATGAACAGGAAGATTTGCTTAATGCACACATACAACCGAAAAATGACAGCCTAGAGACACAAAGACCCACCAAGAGGCAATCTATTCCCTCCTCTCCACCTCCATCACCCTGTGGCTACCCTGTCACTTCATTATCCACAAAAATAAAGTATCAGCCCAAATGGCACTGCAGGATTTCTGTGGGAGTAATGTACAAGTAAGTCTCTTTTTTAGCCTGTAAATCTCTGAACTCGAGTGCTCAAAAATACCTTGGAGGCAAGCACTCTGGAGCAGAGAGCTCCTGGACATCACCCTGAGCACTTCCCTAAAAGCCACAGAGCCCAGCAGCACTGCAATCTGAGCTGGGGCTCAGGGAAATGGCCTGGAGCTCCAGCTTTGGCTACATCCACTAGAGCCTCCTGCCTGTTCTGTGAGGCAGCAGGGTCACAGGACACAGCTCCTCCTGTCAGGGGCTCTCCTCTTGCTCCATCATTCCTGATCTCTGCTCACTCACACAAGTGCTCAGATCCAAAGGTCACAGGTCCCTGACACAGCCTGCAGCCAAGGCCCTCTGTTATTTGCTTCAGTATTTTAGCAGGCTTGGAAGTTTCCTGGAAGCAAGGATGGATTAATGGAGCCCAGAGCTGCCTTCCTTTCTTATGGGGATCTACACTCCCTCACTGATGGTGAGAAAGGAAGAGGAGTTTGGGCACCTGTCCTCCACTGCCCACCTGCACCTCTGTGCTTGGGAAGCAGCAGGAATTGTACAGGACACTGGGAGGGACAGGGAGCACAAAGTGATGCTGAGGTGACAGATTAGCTCAAAGGACTGCCAGCTAATGAGTCCTGCTTGCTGCAAGCACTTCCCACTGCCCACGATGGACCCAAGGCTCCCTGCTCCTGCCCAGGGTGGACAATCAGTGTGTCACTCCCAGAAACAGACACACATCCTGCACTGAAACACTAATACCTTCTAATAGTTGTAACGCCCGACTTGGTGCTCTTTAGTCAAAGGTCAGTTGCTCCCTGAAGTGTATTATTTAAAAGGAAATCAATGATGTTTAAGTTTCTGAGCAAATGGAAGGGTGTGCTTGGTTTATCCTGGCAGTGGCAGAAGGAGCACAGTGGCATTGCAGAAGGAGGGTGGAAGGACAAGAGAAACACTAAGATTTACTCAGTCCCAAAAAAAAAGCCATATTCATATTCAGCCATACTGTATTCAGTATAAAAGTACATGGAATGTACATTCTTAAAACTCCACACCCCTTTGTCCAACACAGCCAACAGGAGTTTCAATTTTTTATCTATTTTACAGAGACTGCAGGTTTAATATAGACATACACATGCTAAATTTCAAGTCAGGGCCAAGCTAAAACTTGCCACTCAGGAGGAAGCAGGTTGAGCTGTGTGGCAGGTTTTTATTTCACACTAGAGCTCACTCGAGGCAGAAACACACAACCCCAGTGAGGGTCACACCTTCATGCCAGTCACACAAAACCTCTTCACAAGGGATGATGGGCAAGGTTGTGCTACACAGCACGAAGAGAAAACCCAGCTCATTTTGATGGATGATTGTCTCATCTCTGCACCATGTAGTACCAGAGAGTAAAAGCAGAGTTCCAAGGCTGAAGAGCTTTACTTCAGTTAGCATAGTTACAGGGCAAATTATTAACTTGATACATTCTTGTTTGAAGAATGAAAAAAAATCAGATATACTTTGGACTACAATTGTGGTCCACTTTAGACTACAATTGCATTATTATCTAAGATGCAGAACATCATATTCCTCAAGTTTTGAAAGACTCAACACCACAGGATAAACCCCAGCAAGGTTCAAATTGGAATTCTGTCCACCAGTATAAAGTTAACACTTAGCAAGTACAAAGCAGAAAAACACAAGGAAACACTTACCAAATACCAGCAGTCTGGAGTTTTGCTGCAGGCAACAGGTAAGCTGTCGACTAAGCAACATTGACGCCATTTTATCTTTACTGAAAAAGACTCAATCTTGAGAGATTTCTTTCTGGTTGATGTTCTGGAAAAAAAATAAAAAAAGAAAAGAAAACACTTATTCATGTCCCTATAGATGCAGCCACTATTACTGTGCTGTTCAACTCCCCCTTTCATTAATTTCCATCCAAAGGCACCAAGAGCATGGTTTGGTGGATTAATGCTGATGTTCACAGCAGTCTCAGGATTGAGCCACACGTCTGATTCTTGGCTTGGTCTTGCTAAGGCAAATTAAAGGCTTGGTCTTGCTAAGGCATAAAGCTGTATGTCCCAGCTTCAGCAGGGCCAGGGGGTAAAGGCAGAATCTATTTGCCCTTGCTCTTCCTCTACTTTCTCTGTATATGTAGCCTATGTTGAACTTTTTAAAAAATGTTTTCAGTCAATCTCTCACGCCAAAGCTGTTGTTTTTGATTTCACCTAAATGTATGAGGAAAACCTCATCTAAAACTAAAGACAGCAGGAGAAGCATTAGGAAATAAAAGAAAATAAATCCCCTGAAAAAAAAAAACCCCAGCTTTTTACCCATTAATCACAACTCTGTGAAGAGAGAATGTGAGAGCTGAGATTGTCCAGCCTGAAGGCTCAGATTGCATCCCACCAATGTGTAATAAATACTTGGTGGGAGGGAGTAAAAAAGGAGCCAGGGGCTTCTCAGAGGTGTCCAGTGATTGGATAAGAGGCAATGGGCACAAACTAAAATACTCTGAGCTAAACACAGGAAAACTCCCAGCAGGTTGCCCAGAGAGGGCACGGAATCCCCATGCCTGGAGAGATTCACAACCCAAATGGTCCAGAGCAGACTGCTTTAGGTGCCACTGCCTGGGCAGAGGGCTGGACCAGACCCCTCAGCTCCCTGCCAAGCTCAGCCATTCTGTGGTTCCACCTCAGCTGGTTACATGTAAATGACCTTGGAAAGTCAAGTAGCATGAAAGACAACATGCCTCCCTTTTCACTATGGATCACTTGTGCAGAAAGCCTGGCTGAAGTCAGGAATAGATGAAAGAGGTCATTGAATTATTATCCAGGACACAGGTTAAATTCAAACTGCACACTTATCAGCGTGGCCCCTGTGCTCTGTGTAGGACATGGAGCCTTTGCCTGGCATTTGCACCTTGCTGGATGCACACCATGGAGCAGCAGTGGACCGAGGCCTGCAGTCCAAGTGGCAAAATGTCACTATTATCCATAAACCCGGAAAAAATTCTATTTAACAAATACACTCAGAGTAGAGCTGATCTTCCAGCAGATCACAGTTTACAGCTTCCATCAGTCCTATGCCATCAATAAAACATGCCAGCAGATGTTCAGGACCAGATGCAGGAAAGTAGCTGAACTATTGTTACCATGACAGCAAGTATCTCATACCCAGAACTAAACTATCACAGATTTCATTTCTGTATTGTCTTTATGTGAAACACTATTTGTTCTCCTTCACATGTGGGCTTTTTCAAAATATATAAAAGAAAATAAAAAACTTCTTGCCTACAGAGATTTATAAATTCATAGACCTATTAAGAGTCAGGAACAAAACCAATTCCCTGTGCCTCCCCAGACAATTGACATAGCACTTGGTTTCACTTAGTTCAAGTTAAAATTCAAGGTAGTTTGCAATGTGCCAAGATGAGCAAACACTTGCACAACACTTGTGCACACACTGGAAAAGCAAGATTACCTTCCTAAGACTTTGGGTTGCAACTGCAGAGGGAACTAGTTAATTTTGTTTTCAGTAAAGCATAACTTCACTTATAAGACAAGATTAGTTTAATTAATTCATTATGTTTTCTTTCTCAGCTTCTTTCTTTACTTGTGCTAACTTTTGCATAATCAATGTGTGAAGAAATATCCCAACACCATGGATTTCTTATCTCATGGCCACCCTCTAACAAAAAACAAATGCCAGCCTAAGTCAGTAAGAAAATGCCCAGCACCTCGATTGATGTCCTAAGCTCAAAGCTGTTTATCTGCTCTATACTACTCTAACCTCCAACTCCCTCTGTAAGTTTCCTCTGCAAAGTGTTACTTTTTTAGAGTCTTTAGGAAGCTGTCAAAAAGTGAACACAGCTTTGCAGGAACTCACAAAAGGAGCAGTGCAAACATACTTAACAACCCACCAAGGTTCACTCCTTGTTCTCGTGCCCTTCAGTCATCTCCCATGGGGGTTTTACTGCCAGCTGCCCAACTTTCCTTCTCCACAAGGATGAGATGCCTCTTCACCTACAAATCAAACATCCCTTCCACAGCTGTACCAGGTTTCCCTTCTTCCTTCCCTAGGTGAACCACACCTATGTCTGCTTCCAGAATGTGACTTATTTCTAATTATATTTACAGTTTATCTCAGGTCCTTTAATAGTTAAACTACAGTATTCATTAGAGGCTCAAAAATAGAATTGGAAATTATATTGGCTTTCTGAACTACTCGTAGAAAAAAACTACTGCATGAGGCTTAAAAATAAAGTAGCTTAGCCCTAATTTTCCTTGACAGTTCTTACATAAAAAGTTTTATCATTTTCTAGTCCAGAGTCAGAATAAATCACGCAACATCACATGTGACTATAACTAAACCCAGCGTCTTTTCCATCTCCATTAGACACACAGGCTCTCACAGGAAATCAGCTGATGTGATTGGGATCTTAGTCTAAGCACACATTATTTGGTTACCACAATAACTAACTGAATTTTGCCTCCATAGCCCATCTCCTGATGGATTCCCACCCAGCCTGATCCAGCACTGTGAGCAGCAGCAGTTTGCAATCCAGCAGAATCAGCTCCTGCACGTGTCAGAGCTGCAGTGCTGCCACGCTCCATCACCCTGCTGCTCCCGAGCCACTGCAGCCACACAAATTCCCAAAACCCAGGCAAAACACAGCACCAATTTCAGATATCTGACAGGAAAGGGGATGGGAAGGACCATCAGAACACAAAGATGTGACAGCCTTCCAGAAAAAGATTCATAAGTCTTCCCTAAACATTTTTCCCCTACTGGGAGCTGTCTGAGCTGGAGCAGGCATCGGTGCAGATGACTCCACAGAAATGCTATTCTGAAGTGAATCTCAGCACCTTCATTTTCCAAATACATTTGCATAATTTTGTCAGTAATTTTGAGAGCTGTCTGAGCAGGAGCAGGCCATCAGTGCAGATGACTCCACAGAACTGCTATTCTGAAGTGAATCTCAGTACCTTCATTTTCCAAATACATTTGCATAATTTTGTCAGTAATTTTGCATTATATAAACTGTGTTTGCCACTGCATGTGTTTAAGTCACAGCCACATTCTTCTAGTAAGAAAAAATATTTTCATTTTCAATGAGGAAGCTCAGTCCAGTTTACCACACACATGAAGCATAAGGATATATGGATTTTTAAAATTCATGCTGTGAAATTGGATGGTTTTTTTTTTAAACAGCAGCTGCTAAATTTCTGTACCAAGAGATTATTTATGACAAATTAGTAACTAGAGAGAACAGCAGTCATTCAGCAGCAGCAGCCTACTGGGAACGCAGAAAGAAGTATTGTTTCCATGAGTGAATGACCTTGTATTTCCTGGGGGGGAAACTCTGGAAAAAGTTTTAGAAAGAGGGGGCTTGATCCTGATACAAGAGAGAAAATAGACAAACTAGGATTTGTGCAGCAATCTCACTCCCTAGCAGAGAAGCTAATGCAGCATGACATCGAGTGCCAGGCTGCAGCTCCCAGAACCTGCCCTGGAAAACATCCTCTGGGGAGGTGCACAGGTAAAGGCAAAACTGAGACCCAGCAGGATGGCAGGAGAAGTCAGCTCTGCACATTTGCATCTCTTTCTTGCAACTCTGCCAAAGACACAGAAATCTGTTTGAAATTCATGGGGGACATTCATCTGTCCCTCAGCTGCTCCAAACCCATTTAACCAGGAACAATTAAGTGGTTTAGAAACAGCAGCACAAGCTGCATTGGGCAATTACTTCACAAGGCTTCCAAAGAGTGGATTTGGGGTGGCTGGGGAGCAGGGAGGGTCCTAAAGGCAAATTTATTACTTTTTTTTTTTACTGTTTTCCTTTGCTTGACTCTTCTAGGCTGCACAGCAAGGGTGCAGTCATGCTAAGTGCTAATTGTGAAATTTCAAGCATCTCTAATTATCTCTTAGTCCTGTTTTCTTGGATCCACCTGGATGTGAACCCAGTAGTGGGCTCACACACTGAGCTGTACAGGGGCTCTGGTGGGTGCAGAGGCTGCAGAGCCCTCTCCCTGCCTCAGAGCTCACAGCAATGCCAACCCTCCCTTCCCACAGCCAGCCTGCCCTGGCACCCCCAGGTCAGCTGGCACAGACAGGCTGCAAGGAGGGAGTCCCTCCAAGGGTCTTTACTTCACAGCTCAGCATGCTTTGACACTGCTCTTTCTTCATCTGCCTTTTAACAGCAGAAGGAACTGCAAACAGAAGAAGCAAGTCAGCTGTGGTTCCTGAGAATAAAAAGGACAATGCTGAAAAGTCAGGCAGGACCCAGGTCCATCCTGGACTTGTTAAAGGGGCCCAAATCTCCTGGTTTGTAGTGCTCATGAACAAGCATCTTTATTTATCTTGTATCTCATCAACAAGCAGGACATAGGTGATTTAGCTCAGGTATTTTACTTCTGTAAACAGCTCAAGGAGATCTGAGTCTGGAATAGCCCCACAATTTCACAAAGAAATATAAGCAGGGATAAGGCAGAAGACAGTCAAGGCTGTCATCTGTTAAACATAATCATGTCCTTCCTCAGACTGCATTTGAGGAAGAATCAGGTAATGCAATGTCATCATGCATAAAAAGATCCAAAGAACACAGCACTTGCTGTTTGAAAATGGCACAGCCCCACCCTCCTTTGGGCAGTCCACATCCAGCAGATCAAAGCAGGAAACAACTGCATGAGTTCACCAGTTAGTGACAGAGCACAGGTGACATTAGAAATCCTGACTTGCTGCTTTAGCCCCTTAAATGTAGTAAACAATGTAAATAAAGAGGTCTGGCAGCATGCTGATGTATGTAACTGCAGTTCACTTGGTCCCAGGAGCAGAGTTAAGAGTTCAGTATAGACTGTGCATTTATCAAAGCCTGAGTACACACAATGAAATACAATAGGTCCTTTTACTTCTGCTGGGGTTTTATCCCAAAGTATAATTCTGAAACCAATTTGGATTAGTTTACAGCAGCATTTGCAGGAGAAGTCTGTAAAGGTATCACCAAGAATTTAGCAATTCAGTCAGAGCTAGGCCAAAGTTATCTCAAATTAAATAGGATAGAATAGTCCTGTTAAGAAGAGTTTCAAGAAAATTTACATCTAGTGTTCATAAAAGGCTAGCATTGGATTTTTTCATTAAGTATCTATACAAACGCAGAACAAAACAGAGCTGGAACCCTCAATTTTAATAAGATCAGTACAAAGGCAGCATCCTCATGAGAGGGCACAGCAAAGCAAAAGAAGTTGCTCATCCCCCACCTTGATCCACCAAAGGCCACCACAGCCTCATACTCCAAAAGTGAAGGTGGTTACAAGCACCCCACAACATGGAGCTCACACAGCAGGGTCAGGACAGAGATGGACACTCTGAAAGAGGTGTGCTGGGTCTGCAGGACCCAGCCAAAAAAGCCCTGAGCACATCGAAGCTCAACACTTATGTGGCCCAATTTCATGGGCAGCAGCCAAACAACAGCAGTGTGGCTGTCCCCAAGGCCTGGTGAGCCTGTGCCTGCAGAGTGCACCCAGGCAATTCCCACCAGGAGCACCAGGAACAGACCTGCACATGGAAACGTGCATCCACCACCTACATGGATTTTGCCAAAACCCACTTCACAAGCTGACAGGCTGTTTATAATAATCTTAATGGCTTTGCATAGAACAGGATGTAATTGAAAACTCCATGATTGTACTTAAGTTGTCAAGGACACAGTTGTCATAGTTACAAGTAAAGCTCAAGTGTTGGTTATTCAGGGTTGCCTATTTATTTATCGACACCAACAGTGCTGGACAGTCTCACGAGGCCTCAGAAGAACAGAAAAGGAGAGACTTGTTTTGTCCTTCAAGTCTTGACAGAACAGTAAATATTGCACTAAAAGCATAATAAACTGGGATTTTTTGCACATCTCTCTTCTCTCCCTCCACATGAAGCTGGCATTCAAGTCAGTCTGCTGTGAGCACTGCAGCAAAAGCACAAACCAAGCTGCACTGCACAAGATGAAAATCTCACACCTACAGCTTGGAATTACTGTCCAGTATCCACCAGGACACGACAATCCCTACCTGCTTCATGGCACCAGCACTCAGGTCAGGGCTGAACCAGCAGCGCAGCCAGAACAGGTTCAGCCCTTCCATCAAGTTTTAAAACTCATTTGGAGTCTAAAGTTTGACTACACTCATGTGTCCAGGTTCTCCTCCTCAGGTGCCCTCCAATCAGGGTTTGGTGGCTGGATATGAAAATATTATTTTCTTTTTTCTTAAAATAAAATATTTCTGCCCTTGTCTCCGTTTACCCTCTCTCCAAAAATATTGGGCCAAGGAAACTCTCCTGATCCCTAAACCAATGAATAAGAAGAGGCAGGAATGTTGTGATTATGGCACACTAGGATCCAGGTGCCCCACTAAACTCCTGAGCAGCTCATTTTTGATCCAAGAGTTATTGGCACAACTAAGGTGGGATGAGATGTGCCTATACCTTTCCTGTGAAAGTACATTGTCTCAGGGAAACAAAAAATGGAATTGAGAAAGCATCTGCTAGAAATGGGGCAAGTTCCAGATGCAAAGCCAACAGTATCTACACAAATGGTCTAATGCTACACAAATGCTGATAAAAACCAAGTACAACAAAACTTACATTAGCTACAAAAATTCTAATTTTTTAATGGAATTTCTTTGTAGTTCCCCCTGAAAAAAACCTGCACATTGATATTCCAGTGAACTTTACCAGTGAGGTACATATAAAAACGTCTCTTCAAGCCTGTATTAAACATTCCTTCAAGCATATTTTAAATCCATTATTTTAAATGAAGATGGCAACAACATATCCAAACCATGTTCATTTCCACACATTTCCCAGACAAAAACAGCCCAGCTCACAATGGATTAAACAAATTTTGGCACAGCCATGTTTTTCATTTTAGTTGCTCCACAAGCATTCTGTAGTTTTGAAAAAAATAAAGTATCGCAAAATACCCTCAAGTGGTATTTCCAAGGAAATTCAGTTATATTCCTTGTAAGATTTTATTCCTAGCATCTTACAGCTGCCTCCTCAGAGATCAGGAAAATAGATAGATAAATAGCACCAAATAACAGCAGAATTTATTTTCCTGTGCCATAAGGCATAAAACAGATCATTGGAGGCAGCCTGCGCCAAACCAAGGGAAACATCTCAAGCTGTGGTTTCTCAAGGTGACCCCCATTCCAGCTGAGGACACGAACAGCAGAGCCAGCCAGGAGATTTCTTGTACGAGGGGTCCAGAAAACAAACCAGGAGCAGCTATCCCTGCACATCCATGGCAGGGACATGTAACAACACACACACACACCCCTGCCCAAAGCCAAATCCCCCCGGGCACAGAGTGTGCAGCTCTGCGCCCACCCCACCCGCGGGCACACCGGGCACTTACAGGACTCGGATGCAAACTCCAGCTCTCCCCTTGGAAGTGCTGCTCCCACAGCCAGCTCCTGCCTTGGAAGCGCTGCTCCCTGCTTCACTGCCTGCTTCCCGTCAGCGCAGGCTGCTGCTGGTGGGGATTGCCATTGCTGCCAGCTCCTTCCAGCTCCGCGCGGCGGGGACGGGCATCGCCCAGAGGGAGCCCAGCGCCGCAGCCCGGCCGGGGATGCCCCACTTAATGACGGCTAATGGAACCGGCTCCTGGCAGCTACAGCCTGCGCCCGGCCAAAGCCAGCACAGAGGAGCACTCGACTCGTCCCAGACCTGAGAGAATCTGGCTCTGGAACGTGGGTGTCCGAGCTCATCCGAAAGCCTCCTCGGCGGCTCTCTGAAAACAAATCCCGAGGCGCAGAGCCAGACTGCGTTAAGGTTTGAAATGGCTCCTTAGTTTCCAATAATTGTGGAAGTTGAAGAACAGGTTTTGTCCCTAAACCCCTTAATTTGACTCTGGTTTGCGAATCTGCTGAGGGTGACACCCAGGCACACGACTGGCACAAAATAACCTTGTTTTGGCTCGTTCCCTGCAGGCGGTGGCAGGCAGCGCGCATCCAGCGGCACCTCCCGCCGCACACTGCTCCCGACGGGAATGGGGCATGAGGATACCCACAGAACACCAGCACCTCCCTTCAGGCACAGGGATGCAGGGAAAAGCGGCACAGGGTGCCACGGCCGAGGCTGGGCTACCACGGCCAGGTTGCCATGGTGCCGGGGGGCACCAGAACGCAGAGAGAGGCTGAGCCGCTTCAGATTTAAATCCCTGTGACAGCATTTCGGCCGAGCCACTGCACGGTTGCTGTGGCAACCGACGAGTGAAAAATCACAGAGGAAATCTGTAATTATTACAAGCGAGGTGGTGACTTACCCACTTCAGTAATCAGAGCATTAAAGCGGCTCGAGCAGAGGAGGGGAGCTGGTGCCCCCCAAGACGCAGGGCTGCAGTGCAGCAGGGAGCCAGGCAGGACACCCGGGCTGGGGCTCCTGCTTTAAAAATCAGGGGCTTCTGCTTTAGCCTCTGTAGGCTCCGCTATGGGATGCAACCCTTGGGCAGGATGCTTCCTCAGCACAGGGCTCTGCACCCTGTCTGCAAGGGGGGAGATGAGGGAGCAGCCAGAGCGAGCCCCAGACCTGTGCTGCTGGTTCAGCATGGGCAGAGCTGGGCACAAGGAAGGGCCCGAGGCAGGCAGAGGCAAGGACAGATACCAGCAGCAAGGGACAAAGATGGAAGATGCAATGCTTGCAGGAGGCTGATAAGGTCTCTGGAAATTGCATGACTCCAGTTTGTGCTGCTCCTGCAGCACCACCTTCCCTGTCCCCCTTCTCTCAGAGCAGCCACAGCAGCAGCATTGGCTCAGCTGGGGTGGGTGGTGTGACAGTCACTGTGCTAACACAGGGCAGTGAGGGACAGTCAGTGATGGTCACTGTGCTAACACAGGGCAGTGAGGGACAGCCAGTGATGTGATGGTCACTGTGCTAACACAGGAGCAGCACAGTGTCACACCAGCATCCACACAACCCATTAATGGGGGAGTTCGAGTTTTAAAGTAACCATGTTGTTTTCCAGAGCTTTTCTACACGAAATGGACAATTGATCAGCATCCAGACAAACTGCCAATCCAAATGCCACTAACACCAATGAGGAAGAGAATCCAACATGTTTAATTCTGTTCTGGTTCCCTTCTCCTCTGCTGGAGACTGTAGCCTGGGATCTCAAGTGAGCACTGTGAGCAACTGCCAAGAAAGAAGCCCTGACTGCAGTTATTTGTAAGACAGATCCCATAACAAGCAGTTGATTTGATCCAAAGTTAGAACTGAACCTCACCCCTCACCTTCATAATTTAAAATCTGTTATTAACTACATACTCAGACTGTAAACAGCACATTTAAACTGGCCTGTACTGGTTACCAGTCATTAGAACAAACTGGTGGCTCTAAACTGAACCTGTCAGCCAGACAATCTACCACAGAAAGTGCCACAGTCCTATTCAGACAGATGGTTAATGCAGGTACACATCACAAAGCAGAGGGGCAAGGACTGAGAAAAGCTACAGGGGCTTAGACTCACCATGTATAAAACACTAAATTCAAGAGCAATTCATTGTGTCAGTGATTTATTACTACACTTATTCAGTGCAGTAATATTCAGGATTACAGCTTCTGAGGAAGACTGAGGTCCTTGTGCCTCTGCTGAGTGTTGCCCTGGATGATGTGAGGCTAAACTTATTAACCAAAATGATGCTGGATGAAAAGTTCTTGGTGCTGCAAAGTGCTAACAAGTTAAATGGCAACACCATCTAGAGACTCCAGTCAGCACTGTGCCCCTTCATGCTGAGTCATGTTGTGTCCAACTGCTTGGAAACCCATCCTGAAGAGAGACAACAGCTCTATTGTAGACTTTTATTTGTAGTGGATTTCTTTTGCTTTAACCCTTGCATCAAATGGCTTAACACCAAACTGCCACTTCCTGAGTAAAGCCTGAATTCTTGTTGTTCTGTATGGCTGCTTTCATCCCCCCATACCCACAATTACCCTGCCTGGCAGGTTGGATGCACAAAGAGAATGACAATGACTATTTAAGTCCTGTTGCAGGGCAAAAAACTTGGTTTGATGCAACTATAACTATTAAAAATCCATTTAAGATGTATTAAAAATGTGCAGTTCATGAAAGTGGGAGCTGTAACCAAAACTCCGTGGATTTGCATTTGATTTAATCAAGAGAACATTGGTGAAGAAATCTGTTTAAACAGTCTGTTATTGGAAGGGATGTGGCCAACCACCTGCACTAAGGTCATGTTCTGCTCTGATTTGCAGTTGTCAAAGGCAGATTCACTCAGTACACAATCCTTCACTGCTAGGAAGTAATGTCCGGCTTCAGCAGAAACAACTGTTGGTATATTTCCCTGTATCAATGCTACAAACATCCTTCTGAAATATACAATGATGATACAAGGCAAAACAGGGATCAGATTCTGGCCAGGCTGGTCCATAACACCAAGAAAAGCACATGGTTAGTATCAAAGATGTTCTGTTTTAATGGAAAATATTGGAATGTTTACTGTGTTACCAGTGTATTTCATGCAAATCATGGCAAATTCCTCCAGAAGCAGCTCTACAGCCCTCCTTAACCCCTGCCTCACACCCTAGAAAGCATCTGCTACACTTTGTTAAGAAAAACAAAGCATTTCAAACAACGCAGCTACAGTATTTGAAGAGAATTCAGTATTCAGAAATAGCAGCTCCGGGGTAGAGACAAGACGTCAAAATCCTAAATGTCAGACACATCTGCAAGAAATGGGAACAAAACACATCAGTATCACAAAGCAGAGAGCAAAGCATGCAGGACACTCAGCACCAAGTCTCGGTCCTCCTTCAAAAAACAAAGCTGCACGAGACTCAACATCAGAACCCCAGACCTGCATGAAGAGGGAAAGCAATGCCTCTCTTAAGGGCTTGTTGTGTTTGGAGAAGGAATAGAGCACATGGTCCTCCTTCAAAAAACAGAGCTGCACAAGACTCAGGAGCAGGGTCTCAGGACCCCAGACCTGCATGAAGAGGGAAATCAATGCCTCTCTTAAGGGCTTGTTGTGTTTGGAGAAGGAATAGAGCACAAGCTGGAGTGTCAGATCAACTTTTAGGTACTGTGAGCAGTAATCACTAGGTTCACCTTAAAATATATTAAAAGGTATTTCAATACAGTTGGAAGGAAACAAAATAACACTATATAAATGGTGACCCCAAGTTAATTACAAAAATCTGAGCAAACCATTTGCAGACAGTAGGATAAGGGTCTTATTTGGCTGAAGAGGATTACCATGAAGGGCAAATCAAAATAAAAAGGACAACTGGGACTGCTTAGCTTTGTGGGAAAGCCAGCACAGTGCAGCTTTCCAGCCTGTGGCTCGCCAGAAGGCTGCTTCCTACCCTAGCACATCCAGTAACTTTACACTCTGTGCACAGAGGCAGTTTTGCTTTTGTGAAAGAAGTTAAAAGGCTCATGAACAGAGTGGAATTCAGCACAATCAATAGCACTAACTGCAGGGATTTCATTTGGTGGGCAGATGTTGAGGTTGGAAAAGCCAGAGGTTGCACGTGTGCAGGGCACACCTGAACTGCCCCTGCACTACTCACTAATCAGTGACTGCTGTAACTCACACTGACCCAGGCACTGGGGGATCACCCCCTCTGCTCTTCACATGTCAACTGCTTTAATTCCCATTAAACCTGAGAACTTCACATTCAGAAGGAAGGGGATATAGGAATTAAGCACAATTACTATGAAATTCTACTGTTCAGAAGTCCTCTTATTTCCTGTTTATTCAGGCAATAGGTAAAAAGGAACAGCAGTTGGGGAGTTTTCAAAACAGTTCAGGAAACACAGATATGTACACGGTGTTAAAAAGACTCTGTTACTGAATTCCCTAGTATGTTTAGAACATTATTTTTGGGCTCCAGATGGAGAAAGAAACAAGTGCCAATCTGATTCAGCAAGAAACGTGTTTCTCGAGTGGTCCCTTTTACTTCTCTGGGTCCATTCACAAAACTAGAGTTGGGAAAGAGCAAAGAACTTTGCAGAATAGAAGGCAAGGTAGAAAAACTGGGAACTGGAAGACTCTCTGGTGATCAAAACCTGGAAGTTACCCACTAGGGAAAAATCCACAAGGCTGCTGCATGAACTGTGCTTATTTACTCCTTATATATTGCCTGTTTAACCAAATGAATGAGTCTGCTGCATTATCACACAGGTACTAAATACCTGGATAGGAATTTGAGGAGATAAATTGGAGCTTACTAAGTGTGTTAATGGCTAAACTCACTGGTGAAGGCTCATCAAGGTACATCTCTACTGCACCCTCAGCTCTCATGGTAACACTGACACCCACAAGAAACTGGGCTCTGCTCTTCAGTCTGGCACATCCAAGGGGACATTTTATGCACCACATTCAGCTAGTTAAAAAGTGTTGACCAGTTTTGGGAAAACTTCCATAAAGATTTGGACAAATCTTTATAGGAGCTCTAATACAAGTTAAGCAAGTCCAGTTTACTTGGTGGGGTAAGAGAAGAGGGACCCAGATTCAAGAAACTGATGAAGGATGCCTTGTATTACTGTGATGTTTAGAGAGGCTGCATGAACAGTGGGAAAATCCAGCATAACAAATCCAGGATGAGTACAATCAGTATGGAATAATGAGCTAGTAGTTAGGTTGAACAGCATATTTAACAAAAACTTTTTATGGGAGATGTTTAAAAAGTAAGCAGCATTAGCACAATGGGACAGTGAGGCTACCTTCAGAGTGCTGCCCTCATTGGTACTTAACCCAAGAGGGCTCTGTCACAAAAGCTGAGGAAAAGAACAACAGCAAATTTCCCTTCTCCTTCATAAAATCAGGGTTTCACTAAATGGATGCAACTGCAGGATTCATCAGTAATCAGGTTCACAAAAGATACATCACGTGCTTTGTTAGTGTGAGTATCATCTTAAGCTGCCCCTTTTCCCTCTCTGCTGTTAACTAGTGACAATAAATAAATGATATTCAGAGGCTGGAGTTTCACAAGAGATGAGAGAAATGTGGCTGCAAGC